AAGTGCCAATGAAAAAGTGTTATTCGTTTTTTGATATCTTTTCAAATAAAGTCAGAAAAAAATAAAATTGATATTGTCAAATTCTCGTTTTTCCCAAATATCTCAGCAGGCCATGATAATTCTTCAAGTTTCTAAACGGCATGTAAATAAGCTTTAAAGAACACAACTTTTTCCTAATTTAACCTAAGCTGTATCTCCAACAGGTACTGAGATTCCCATGCTTAGGATCCTTATCTTGAACACACTGAATAGATATGTGTAAAAATTTTGGCATGTTCCATACTATTCTTTTATTTTTTATATTTTCTGTAAACTGTATTTTTTTATATTTTCTTTATACATTGTAATCTGATTATCCGATGATAAATAAAGCATTCATTCATTCATTCTTGTGACACATCTTTTTGAAGCTCCTGACAAATGCTTAACAACCCTAAAATATAATGTAATTATCTTCAACTACTACAACTACCTTTTGCTTCAAATATCCCCATAAAAAGGTCCAAAGGCGAGCGGGCTGGCCATTCTGTAGGACCTTGACGGCCAATCCAACGACCGGGTAAAGTAATATCCAAATAATTTTTTACTTGTCTTCAGTAATGTGAAAGTGATCCATCTTGTTAGAACAGAATGACCATATAGAATTCATTAGGATTCGCTTCGACGATTTCAGTGATGAGAGGGTCAATAGTAGTTTCCAGCATATTCAAATACAGTTCCCCTGTTAAATTTTGATCAATAAATAGAGGTCCCACAATATGGTTTCCCAATATTCCTGCCCAAACGTTAATTTTTTCTGGATCTTGGGTATGTGTTTTCCGGAAAACGTGAGGGTTGCTGTCACTCCAATAACGGCAATTTTGTCTGTGAACATTACCATTTGAAAAAAATGTGCATTCGTTACTAAAACAAATATGGTGGAGATAGGTAGGATGCCTTGCAATGGTTTCCGTCATGATTTCGCAGAATTCTGTTCTTCGATCAGGGTCATCTTTCAGTCATCCTCTTCAAAAAACTCCACACAGTAGAAGGAGACACCTCACAAACATTCGCGTCGGAATAAGTAGACTGTACAGTTCTACCTAGTAAAACCGAAAACTTAATGAGAATATTCTAACTGAACAATGATGTTCATTGTCGTATTGACATTTTTTGTCGTTTTTATAAACAAAAAATAACTTAACAAACCTTATCGGGTTGTTGAAATCCCAAATTTAAATTTTTTGAGTTGACCCGTTTCAAAAAATAAAAGGGGGAGGGACATTAAAGAAATGCACTGTATAAAAAATGTTTGTACACGAGTACACATAATAACTTATATGTACAATAACATTTTGTTTTTGTAAATATTCTTCAACGGAGTAGAAGCTTTCATTCAATAGATATTTTTTCGGAGCTTTCTCGAAACTGTATAAGGTTTCGCATCTTTTTATGTCGTTTAGAATAGAAATAAACACTATGGGAGCCATTGCTTTATTTGAATTGTGTTACTGAGAAGTATACAAAAATCATTTTTAGTAGTGAAGTTTTCAGGAAAAAACTGTCTGTTTTCGTTCCAAATTGATGAAATTCAACTTTTCCTCCAAAACAGTTAATTCGAACAGCTCAACACCTACCATTAAGTGACAACAAATCAGATTACAAATTAATCATTATTCAATATATCTCTGTCCATTAACTGATGTTTAAACGCAATACAACTGCTATTGGCATTAATACATTTTCAATGTAACCGCTAATCACTCAATTTGGATTTCGTTCCCAAATGGTTTTGATCCTCATTCAATAACGACAGAGTAAAATGAAAGCGAGAAATAGGTCATTCTAAACATCGAAGCAAGTTATGCACACAATCTGGTTGGAACTGTTAACCCACTTAGTCTGA